GAGGGAGCCCCTGATCTCTCGATCTGCGCTCAGCGCTGTCTTGCGAAAGGGGGAGGTCCTCTGGTGGTGCAGATCCTGAGAAAAAGAGAAGTGTGAAGGAGCCCGCAGGCGGCCTGTGTCTCAGCTCGTCTCCGGTGCGTCCAGCAGAGCAGTGTGTGCAGGAGCTCTCTTCCTCAGCGTCACCGGTGAGTTCCACACCTTCGCACTCACGGGTTTCCTCTCTCTGCCTGTTCCTGATCATTCAATTATTTGGGAGAATATTTGATGTTTCATGTTAAATTAAGTACTTTTTCACTGATGCTTCATGGCAATATTTAATGACGTTTTGAAAATGTGTTTTTGTTTTGCGGACTGAGTGGTTTTTCATGCAATTTTAATGCCTTGCTTCCTTATAGGATTACATGTCTGATCACTGAATCATGAATCATTACTATGATAAATGATAAAGGCTGATTATTACTATAAAGTTTTTATTTTAAGCTATTAACTGATTAGACTTACAGTATATGGAAATGTTCTAACACCGACGCCCTGCAGGACTGAGAGACTCTTCTCCCGGGTCTCTGCCTGATCCCCTGTGTGACTGAGCTCGGACTCCCAGCAGCAGGAGAGAAGAGAAGCTGCAGCCATGGGTGTTGAAGACTCCCTCCGCTTATGGGGGGCGACTCTGCTAATCCTGCCTGGTGAGACTGAGCGCCTGCACAGTGTGGACCAGCCGCTGAGGCAGCGCCCTCTAGTGTTAAAACTGCTGTAGCACAAGGACAGAATGAAAATTGTTCAAATGCAAAGCATCCAGAATTCCTTTGGTGCCCCATTTTTTAAATTAAATGTAAGAACATCTATAACTTTGCTGAAAGATAAAACAGTTTAAACAGATGCAGTTGTTTTTTGAACAAACACAACAGTTTTGTTGAATAATACCAATGTATTTATAGTGAGTCGGCTGTGATGTGATTTTGGAACGAAACCTCTTTCCTACATTAGTATAAGTTAATAACTGTGTTTCAGACAGTCTGTTACCTGAGAGCCTTTTCTTTAGTCATAACCCATTGATTTATCTTGTGATAGTTCAGTCACTGATTTGATGGTTCCACAATCCCGTGCAACTACTGTAGCTGTTACAGCAATACTTAATTTAATGGGAATTGCAACAAATGCCACAGAATCTATTTCCTTTCAATTTTAATACCACATCAG